TACTTGATCTGCCCGTTCGTCTAACTGTGCGTGACGCGTTATAATTCATATTTCATGCAACTGTGGAATTGAGGTCGCTTCATCCGGATATCTGTTGAATACGGTCCGCTTGAATTATATTCCATGTGACTGCGGACTTGAAGAAGCTTATTTTCTTTTATGTACAAAGGCGTAAATGGGTATTAAAGAATTGCATACATATACGCGCGAGCACAGATGCATCATATTACGTAGTTATGAGAATTCCATTTTGATTTTATTGTTGTTATTATCGCTGTTGTTATTATCTCATCATTATTATTGTTTTATTATCATGTAATTATTATCATTATTATTATCATTATCATTATCATTATCATTATCATTATCATTATTATTATTATTATTATTTTATAATTATTATATTATTATTATTATTATCATTATTATTATTTATCATATCATTTATCTTATTATAATCATTATCATCCTTATTTTATCATCATCATTATCATTATTATTTATCATTGTTATCTTTTTATTATTACATCATTATTATCTTACGGTTGTTGCATTCTACTTCTTTCGCGGCAAGTACGCAGCACGGAAGTACATAGACCACAATTTATTCACATTTATTATTTACACGACTATCCCTGGGAGTAGATAAAGAAGGAAGGTAGGAGGGGAAAGAGACTTGCACAATAAATGGAGGGGAAGGGGCACAAAGACAGAAAGGAGACGGGAAAGGGGGAAAGAAAGCCTCAGAGAGAAAGAGAATAGGACAAGAAAGGAAGAAGGAGTGAAGGAATTGGACAAGTTATGGAGGGAGGGAGAGGAAGGAAATGAGAATGTTAAGGAAGAAGAGGAGTGAACCGAGGAGAAATAGGCAGATCGGGAAAGGAAAAGGAGAAGAGATAGAGAATGTAACCGTTGATGTGTTTTATTTTGGACGGCATCTTGCTTTGGGGTGGGATGGCACGCGGAGTTAGGCAAGGTGATGGAGGGAGGTGTGGTGTGATTTTTGGGTGGTTGGCGCAAAGGAAGTGGTAAGGGTAAATGATGGAGTGGTGGGTTTATTCTTATGCGGTGAATTTGGGTGTGGGGGTATAGGGAATTGGTGGTTAAAGATGGACAGTAAAATATAAAGGTGGATTAGGGTAAAGGTGGGTGGTAGTTCAGTTGAAGTATTATTACGAGGGGTGGTATGGAGGGATTCGGTTGGAGATTAGGTGTGTAGGGTGAACGGGAGGCTGAGGGGCGTGTGATAAGGTGGATATCGATGAGTGGTTAGAATATTGTGAGTGGTAACCTGGAAAACCAGTTGAAATAAGGGGGGAGTCGGAAATATTAGATTGTGGATTATGTTTAGTAGTTTGTTTAAGGGGGAATTAGGGAGGAGATGGGTGCGTATAATGGGGCGGGATGAGGGAACGATTAAGTTTTTGCGGTATTAGAGTTAGATTGTAGGAGTGTGAGTGATGGAGGTGGGTGAAGAGGATGGGAAAGTGTTTGGAAGATTAGTAAAATGGGAGTGGTGAGGGGTTAGAGTGAGGGAATCTAAAGGTTGGAAGGCTATGATGGGGAAGGGTATTTGAGTATAGAGGAAATTAGATTTGTATATTATAATTATGTTGTAAGTAACTGAGAAGGATAGAATGTAGAGGTGGTAAAAGGGTTGTGGGGGAGAATAAGAACATGGAGTGTGGGTGGGGGTGAGTGGGATCGGATTGGAGTGAGTTTATTAATAGTCGTGTTGTGGGAGAAGTTAGAGGACCGGAGGTGAAGAGGCGAATAGGATAAAAGGATTTTTTTCTTCCGAGGAATTTCCATGGGTTCGCAATGGTTTTTGATAATGATAATAATATCATAATAATATAGGCATCACATAATTAGCCATGCAGGTTAGTAGCAATAAATGGTCTCGTAATAATAATAATGATGTAAATGATAAAAACTAATGTGATAAGTAGTATAATGGACAATAATTATAAATAAATAATAGTTATAATGATAATGATTATATAGCAACATAATAATAATGATAATGTAATGGGATTATGACAGAAATATGATAATGAAATGATTTGATGATAACTATATTGAGAACAAATAATTATGAAATAAAATATAATAATGATATGGTATGAGCTATAAATATGAAATAGTTTACACTGTAATAATGATAATGTTGATAATAGAATAATAATAATATAAATTTTTAGTAATGGATAGTAATGATAAGGAAATAAATAATAAGGATTGAGACAACAGGAGGAAAATAAATAATCATAAAAGGTTAACTGATAATTGGTAGGTCAGAACATTCGGTACAATATAAAATGATGAAATGTTAACTATAATTAGATGTAATAGAATATAATCAACAATGATAACTAGGTGGGGATTGTATTTCTAGTAAGGTAATTGGTAATAACTAGATTGATCATGATGATGGAATGAATATATAATTTAGATTAGGAGGTATTATGAATATAATTAATGGATGATAGTTATGGATTAATATACATTATTACATAGTAAAAGTGGATATGCTAGTTAAGGATAAGTAATGAGAGTAATAATAAATATTGATTGGATTAGGGTGGTGAGTTTAATGCAGAATATGATTATTAATTGTTGGTTGGCATATTGTTTCATTTATGATTCATTTAGTCACTTATCATATACTAGTGTTCGCTGAGACTAATAGTAGAAGTGGGGGAATGGGTGAGTATATTAAAGATAATTTAATAGATAAGAATAAATAATGCATAATGACAAGAATGGATTTAATAGGGTAATGTAATGAATGGTATGATATAAATAATGAGAGATATGAAAGTTAGATTGATGTAGAGTAATGAAATTTGTAAGCAATTGTTGAAATAGGATAAGGATATGATTAGATGATAATTATGGATAATAAGGGGGGAAGATATGAAGAAATATTAATATATAGAATGATTATTTGGTGGAGTTTGATGCTTAGGATGAAATAATGATAAATAGGCTAGAGTAAGTAATAGTATAGATAATAATTTAATATATAGATATGGTCAGATGGATATAATAATATATTAAATAGGAGATGTGATCAGAGTCAGTGGATACTAAAAATTGATGATGGATAATGAATAAAATTAATAATAGATATCATTAGTTATTTGTGAATAAAGTATTGGATGATAGAGGTCATAGAGGAGGTAATATCAATGATAATGACAATGGGAGAGTAAGGGGATAATTAGGATATGACGATAATAATATTGATGATGAATGATATATATAATAAAATAATGATTTATTGATATAATTTAATGATAAATTATGACATTAATACAAGTGATGATATAATGAAGCTCTGATATCTATATAATAACAGGATGATATAAATAGAATAATATATAATAATATAACAATAATGATAAATGTATTAGAATAATAATAATTAATAGCAATTATAATTAATTACAATGATGAATAATATACAGTAACAATAGCAATAATAATGATATTAATGGATAAGAGCAAAGATTATAATAATAAATATAATAATAATTGTATTAATAAGGCTTAATTGAATAATAATAATATAAATAATAATATAATAAATAATAATAGTATAATAGCCAATAATGATAATGATAATAATATATAATAATAATAATAATAATAATAATAATAATAATAATAATAATGATAATAATGGTATCGAGTAATAGATTGATGAATAAATAATGATATACATATATATAGATAATGAGGTAATAAATTTATTAATGTTGAATGAACTATAGATTATGGAATAATAATCGATAATTTAAGTTTAATTGTCAATGATGATGATTAATTAACAACAGAACAACAACAACAACAATAATAAATATAATAATAATAGATAATAATAATAATTAATAATATAATAATAAATTATAATGGAATAAAGTAAATATGATGAATAATTAATAATGATAATAATTAATAATAATAATAATGTAATAATATAATAATAATATATATAATAATAATATAATATAATATAATAATGAAAATGATATAATAATAATAATAATAATAATAATAATGGTAATAATAACAATAATGATAGTACGAACAATAGAAATATTAATGATAATGATAATAACAATAACAGCAACAATAGAAACAATGTTGATAATAATGGTGATGATAATGATGATAATTATATTAATGATAATGATAATGATAATAATAATGATAATTTTATCAATGATAATGATAATGATAAAGATATGGATAATAATAGTGATAATAATAATTAATAATAATAATAATAATAATAATATAATATAATAAAAAAGCTTACAAAATAAAGCCATATGAAGTCATACAGCGAAGATAAACGCAGTAATATAGGTTTCAAATTCTATTATCATAGATATAACTGAAAGAAATCAATACATAATGATATAAAAATGTACAAATGATATTTACGGAATAAAGGAAAAAACAACATAAAATGATAGAATTGATAAACTGAATTGACTCGCATGAATATAATAAATAATCAAATATAACTTTTAGTTTTGAAATTCCTATAAGCCCGTAAGTTGTGGTTCAAAATTGTTCAATATTTTCACAGAGTGCAAAGTGCACGCTGAGGGGGAGGGAGTTAAACCCACTCGCAAGCTTTTTAAATTCTATGGAAATGTCTATGACAGATCGTGTCTGTCACCAACATTTCCAGGTGTACACTTTTATGGGGGGAGAAGGGGGGGGGGAGGGTTAGCAAAAAGTGTTCTTTGTACGCTTCTGAAAATGTTGAAATATTGAACCACTTTAAGCTCTTTCCAGTGCAGGGATTTCACTTTGAAGTAAAATAATTAAACATAAAGTTAAATGACATTAAATACGTAATATAGGTTTAATTGAAATAAGCTAACCACAATATACACACACATGCACTATACACATACACTATAAACTATATATTGGTAGTTTATTTGATTGTAAATGCTTTACTTGCGATTTTCCTTGACTAGATTTCGAGATACTATGTTAAATTAATATACCGTTGGATTGACCTTTCCCTTCTGCGAGATAAATACAAATGACCTTTTTCCCAGACTTTACTTTAATGGCCAAAAATCCCTTTGCAGGCGTGGTCATTTAAATAACTTGGTATATTATATACTTGTATTATTATATAACTTGGTATATTATATACTTGTATTATTGTATATATTATATACTTGTATTATATAATATATTATATATATATCGTTATATACAGCAATCCTCTGATCCGTGCTTGAAAATAGGGACGAGGCACAGTGTTTAGGCAAGCACAAACAATGCTTGGCTTGGTACAAACGAGTAGCTAATGACACAACATATATTAGTGGAATTCCTAGCAATAAAGCATATAGTAAACCAACACCAGTCGAGAGTTTACAGGAGTGTAGTACAGTGTATAATTTATGTCTTTAGCTGATGAGGTTGGTTACTTATCAGGAAAATAATACTTCAGTTCATTCCTTATTACTTAAGTGATCTGATTAACTGCGTATGTATTTACAATTAGAATAACAACTAAGTTAATGAAATGATGATAACCTCCAAAATCGGAAGCCCAGTTTATAAACTTGAATAATTAAAACTGGGCAAATCAAATGAAGTTAGTCAGACATTAGTAACAAACATGTTTACACAACAAATAAAGTTCAAATCACGTAATCCATCTCTCCTTCAGCAGAACAGTAAGTTGACAAGCACAATACTGCATTGTGAAACGAAACGAAAAAGTTGAATAAAAAAGATTATAGTTAAACATGCTCTTCGCCGGAATAGTGAGCTCCTCCAGGTATGGATCTCAAACTAAGTAATAAATTGAATTATTAAAATGATAAACGAATAACATTTTTAAACAAGACAGAGCGAATAAAAGTAAATACACGGAACACAAATGGAAAAGATTAAATACAAATAACACAACACATAAGACCCATAAAAATACCGTGGAACCGCTATCTTCACAGTCAATGGTAAATATGATAATTACGTATTAATGTACATATTAATAACATTTTCCTAGAGACGAGATATAATACAAACTAAATCATACGAAGAACACAATGCCCCCCCCCAAAAAAAAATGAACAAAGAACAGTTACCCGGAGAACCCAACCATAAACCCCCTGTGAGCTTCCATACCGTAGGTCCTCTCTCCTTCACCAGGGCAATGAGGTCTTCCAGCCACGGGTTCGATTCCCAAAACTGGCTGGAGACGCTCTCTTCGTCAGGCTCCACGAAGACGACTCGGTTCTTGCTGCGAAGGGAGCTGTGGCGACTCCCATAGTCAGAGCGATTCCCATAGTCGTACGGGTATCTGGGGTCGTACTTGTAGTCGTCTGAGAAGAGGGAATGGTTGTTAGGGAAGTGTAAGTAGCCAGTTCAGTTGATGAGGTTGTTCCTGTTTGATGTCATTGTATTTTATGCGGTGGGGGTTTGTTGCTAAGATTGCTGTTTCGTGTTGTTGTTTTCTTTCGTCTGTTCATGTGTATATTCAAGAGAGAGATGGGGCGGGAGAAAGAAGGAAAATGAAGAGGAAGGAAGGAGGAGGAATGGGATGAGGGGAGAAAAGGTGGAAGAATATATATATATATATATATATATATATATATATATATATATATATATATATATATATATATATATATATATATATATATATAATTAAGGAGGAGAAAGAGAGATAGAAAGAGAGAGGGGAGGGAGGGAGGGAGGGAGGGAGAGAGAGAGAGAGAGAGAGAGAGAGAGAGAGAGAGAGAGAGAGAGAGAGAGAGAGAGAGAGAGAGAGAGAGAGAGAGAGAGAGAGAGAGAGAAGAGAGAGAGCACGACGACACCAATACAATGATATCTTACCTGCATCTCCACTATCCTCCAAAAGCAATTCTTCCTTTTTCATGTTAGCAACTGCTATTACACCAATACAAAAACTTCTGAAGGGACACGGTACTGCTGTAACAGGTATATTGGAAAATATGCTTGGTATGGCGAAGGGGAGGATGGAGCAGGTGGTTGTGCTGTACAAGAGATGTTGACAATGAAGAAATCTTTTCAAGTTGCTGCCGGGTTTGCTGATGTTGTTACTCTTGTTTTTGATGTTCTAAATGGATCCACTATTTGTAAGATGTAAATGCGAAATACTTTCTTTTTTTCTTTGTCATCCCATCTTTATACCCTTGTTTACTGATGTCCCAATTCTATTTTTTTCCACGAATACTGTATATATGATATTTAACAATTATTACTTTCAGAAACGAAACAAAATTGAAATAAAATAGACAGTATGATCCAAAACACTCGCTTCACAAATCAACACGTGATTAATTCACACACAAAGCAAGAGAAATTACATAGACCAAATTCTTTCCCAGTCCAAAAGCCTTCAAAGACAGAAAGAGTGATAACGACGATTTTCTTTCGCCGTCGAGTCTTCACACCACTTCAACACGACTTGGGGTAAACACTAACTGTAGGTAAACACAACACCTACGTCACGACACATGTTTAAGGCAGGGCGTGGTGGGTAAGAGTGCCACCGTTGTCTGACATCTGCGTGACCTCTACCCTTTCCTCCCCTACCCTCCCCCCCCCCCACCGACTCTGCGGCTTGGCACTTTAATGACATTTCATTTATCTTATCCCCTCCCCCCCCTTCCTCTCCCCATCCACTCCTCCCTGTACGTCTCTCTCTCTCTCTCTCTCTCTCTCTCTCTCTCTCTCTCTCTCTCTCTCTCTCTCTCTCTCTCTCTCACTCATCTCACTCTCTCTCTCACTCTCACTCACTCTCACTCTCCACTCTCACTTCTCTCACTCTCACTCTCTCTCACTCTCACTCTCACTCTCTCTCTCTCTCTTCTCTCTCTCTCTCTCTCTCTCTCTCTCTCTCTCTTCTGTCTTTATTGTTAATTTCTTTCGCTTTTTTTCACTCTCTCTCTCTCTCTCTCTCTCTCTCTCTCTCTTCTCTCCTCTCTCTCTCTTCTCTCTGTCTCTTCTCTCTCTCTCTCTCTCTCTCTCTCTCTCTCTCTCTCTCTCTCTCTCTCTCTCTCTCTCTCTCTCTCTCTCTCTCTCTCTCTGCTCTCTCTCTCTCTCTCTCTCTCTCTCTCCTCTCTCCTCATTCTCTCTCTTTCCTCTCTTTTTCTCTCTTCTCTCTCTTCTCTCTTCTCTCTCTCTCTCTCTCTCTCTCTCGTCCTCTCTCTCTCTCTTCTTCTCTCTCTTCTTCTCTCTCTCTCCCTCTCTCCCTCCCGTCCTCCTCCCCCCCCCCTCTCTCTCTTCTCTCTCTCCTCTCTCTCCTCTCCTCTGCCGTCTCTCTCTCTTCTCCTCTCTCTCTCTCTCTCCTTCTCTCTTCTCCCCAATCCTCTCTCTCTCTCTCTCCTCTCATCTCTCTCTCTCTCTCTTCTTGCTCTCTCTGCTCATGCTCTCTCCTCTCTCTGTCCTCATGCTCTCTCTCTCTCTCGCTCTCCTTCTCTCTGTCTCATCTGTCTTCTCTATCCTTCTCTCTCTCCCTCACTTCTATCTCTCTCTTCTCCTACTCTCATCTCTTCTCGTTCTCTCTCTCTCTCTCTGCTCTTTTCTCTCTCTCAATCTCTCTCACTCCTCCTCTCTCATCCTCTTCTCTCTCTCGAGTCTCAATCTCCTTCCTCTCCTCGTCCCCTCTCTCTCGTACTCTCGTTCTCTCTCTCTCTCTCTCTCTCGTCTTTAAATTCTTTTTCTACTCTCTAGATCCACTATCTCTCTCTCTCTCTCACTCACTATCTCTCTGTCTCTCTCTCACTATGCTCTTTCTCTCTCCTCCCACTATCCTCTGCCTCCTATCTCTATTTTTCCTCTCCTCGTCAGCTCACGTTACTTCACTCTCTCATCTCTCAGTCATGGTTAAAGAGGAGCTAAGCTTTTGACTTCTTTTTTCGTACTACATTGACTTTTATTGTGTATTAATTACAATTTGTTCCTACTCCCCTTTTTAGTTATTTTTCTTTGTCCATCATCTGCTGATTTCTTTCCTTTTGGGGGAATTTCCACTCCTGAGAAGAGGAAACAAGAGTCTGGGAGTATATTCATGACATACTACTGTCTTGTTTCCTCTTGTTTACGTGACCGTATAAACTTTTAAGGTTTTTAAGGTTTTATCATTTCATTAACATTGAGATTCAGTCAACAACATAGTTTTTTTGGACTGTTATTTGCACTGACAAGATGAATTAAATAGATTTTGCTATTTGTTTATCGTTTTGTAGGAATGCATGAGAATGCTGCGAGTGTTACAAGAGTACAAAGAAATCAATATGGACTTGGTAGCTTTTCTTGGTAAAAAATGCCTATAATATATATATATATATTATATTATATATATATATATATAATATATATATTTATATATTTTTTCCAAGAAAATAGAACTGTTACTTTGTGTCATATTGTAAAAAAAAAAGGTTTTATTTCATGTGTATCTTTACTCAGCAAGGATAATGCTTATCAGTATCCTTGTTCCTCCTTAATGATTTTTTTCCTTATATATTCATCTTTGTTATCCTTTTCCTATCGTTCAGTATACTTGTTTAAGTTTAATAGCAATGAGCTGGACTCCCATAACAATTTTCGTCGATTTGTAAAAAATAAATTCAGCTTACAATTCTTACTCGTAATATTTGGATGAATCAAACCAATAGAGAGTACAAAGTAATTTATTTCGCTATTCAGGAATTCAAATACAAAGCTGACAATATCACTAAATAAATCACACTTTTTGGCAAATTTCTTGTTCATTCTTACCTAATGAACACCAATGCACATGGAAAGAACTCATATTTCCTCCTTATAGTTTGATCTACTTCCTAAAAATAATATTTAGCACATGGTTCAAATGAACTGAAACATCATCCACAATACTATAGGAAAATCTTGACGGGAGAAAATGTTTCAAAAGTTTGAGGAGGCGTCTGGTCGGACTCGAAACGTCAAGGTCAAACGTTTTCTATATTATCGCGGCTGTGTTTCGGTTCATCTTTGTACAAACATTACAGTTCTGCCACACTACTGGATATAACGAAGTTCCTGGGTCACTCTTTTTACACCAGGGAACACCTACTCCATTTTCGCGACGACAAGCACCAGTATGTTGTCTTATTTTATGACATAACTTAAGTAACTCAAAAACTTCTAGCACTTACTTATGAGAGAAAAAAAAATGAGTATTGCCTGTGACGAGTACAAAACGAAAGACAAAAGACATGTGTGTATCTATGTATATTTACCTTATACATATATACGTGTGTGTGTGTGTGTGTGTGTGTGTGGTGTGTGTGTGTGTGTGTGTGTGTGTGTGTGTGTGTGTGTGTGTGTGTGTGTGTGTGTTTGGTGTGTGTGTGTGTGTGAAGCCATTGATACAGACGTCATAACCACCTATATCATTAAAAAAAAAAAAAAAAAATAGGCACCTCTGACGCTGAAAATGTAAAATGTATATCCTAATCCGTTTACTTCACAAGAAATAACTGAGCTGAGAATCTGAGATCTGTATGAGTTTACTCAGCTGGGCACACATTTGGCTTGTATCTTTATGTTAAATAATAATAATAATAATTATAATAATAATATAATAATATAACAATAACAATAATAATAATAATAAACAAAATAATATAATAACAATAATAATAATGATAAAAGTAAGACTTATAACAATAATGATTATTATTATAATTTTCACTCTTATAACGATGATAATAATACTAACGATAAAAAAATAATGAAAATAATAACACCACTGATTAAAAATAATGAAAATAATAATACCACTGACAAAAAAAATAATCACTAAATAATAAGAATAATATGAAACAAAGAGTAAAATAGCAGGTTTCTATGGACACTTCCAGAGCAACGAAGTGTACCAGTCTCACGCTCCCACACTTGTCTAACTCTCATTCACTCATTCTTAGTTCCTGAGTCACTGGAGTCGGGGAGGGAAGCCATTGAAGGAAAAGGAGTAATACTGGGTGCTTGTTCCAGAGCGCTGTGTTCAGCGATGGGATTCTCTGTTACTGGTACACCTTGGAGTGGCAAGGATGAACGCAGATATTGGAACAAGGATGATGATAAGGTGGAAAATTACAGAGTTGATAATGATTGTGATGATAATAGTAATAACAATATAAATAATAATGATAATAATAATAATAATAGTAATAATAACTATAACAACAACAATAATAATAATTATAATAATAATAATAATAATAATCGTAAAAACAAAAAGTGCAGGAATCCAAGAATCCTCCCACCATAGAATTTGTGACTCAGTTTGAAGGAGAGAGAGAGAGAGAGAGAGAGAGAGAGAGAGAGAGAGAGAGAGAGAGAGAGAGAGAGAGAGAGAGAGAGAGAGAGAGAGAGAGAGAGAGAGAAAATAGAATAGGATGAGAGGACAGAAGAGGAGAGAGAGAGAGAGAGAGGAGAGGAGAGAGAGAGAGAGAGAGAGAGAGAGAGAGAGAGAGAGAGAGAGAGAGACTGGCTCTTCAAGAGAGCTGTCTCACGGTCGGAAAGGCTGATCCATTCTTAGTATGAATAAGGAGGCGGCTTCTCTGACGGAGCAAACGGAGGAGGAGGCTGGTACTCGGGGCATTGAGGTTGGGGCTGCGGGGGGGCTGAGGTATTCGAGGGGGGGTATGCGCCTGCTGGAGGTGCGCCTGGCTGATACGGACCAGCAGGAGGTGCACCAGGAGGGTACCCACCGGCTGGAGGAGCGCCAGGTTGGTATACAGCAGGTGAGTATAAACCAGGTGGATGCTGACCAGGTAGGTATGCATCACCCTGATTTTGACCAGGTGGGTATACAGCAGGTGGGTATGCACCGGGTGGGTATGCCCCGGCTGCGGAGGGAGGGTGCCCAGGCAGAGGACCTTTGCCATCCCCCGGCGAGTAAGTGTAGTTGGCGGCAAAACCCCCGGCCTGAGCTGGGTAAGTCGCAGGCGCCGCCACCTGGCCGCCCACCCCGGGGGAATACGTCTGCGAGGTCACCGCCACATAGCCCGTGGTCCCCGGGTACTGGACTGTCCCCTGGATCGGCTGGGTTACCACCTGCGCTGGGGCAGTGTTGCTCTGGATGACGCGACCGGGGTTATTGCCACAGCAGTCCTTCCCTTTGACGCAGATGATGACGGCGATACAGATCAGGCCAGCTGGAATGGAAGGTCGTAAAGCTGGTTAAAGTCAATATGCATAAACTATTGATGAACTACTTAAAGGCTATCTACTTATATGGAATCAGTTACTTTACGGAATCCGGTAATTGATATCAGGCGCACATTTGGTCAAATACAAAGTATCAACAATTAGGTAATTTAATCAATCTAATCTATACACAAGCTAACACATGCATATCACCCAAACCATCATTACAATGTAAGAAATCATTTTGAAATCAGTAGAGACGTTTAAAAAAAATAAAAATAAATAGTATCTATCATAGGCACATC